GGTGATCTGGGCTTTTATTCATTCAATATCTGATATATTTGAGCTATATAAGTGAACATCATTCATGTAGATGATTATATAGACCTTGCAGATGTCATTTATGAAAAAACTAATATCATGAGAACTAACATAAAAGTCTGTTTTCAATAGCATTTTTTACAACTTCTTATATTATAATAATGCTACTTGCTTCAGACTATATAGTCTTTGCATCAATTCATATATCAGATTATCACATCTTTGCAGGACTTGGCAGATTGATATATATATATACATTCATTAATGAGAAGCTGAGCATTTAAGAATGTTATAATCATATCAATCTGCAGAACATGCCATCCTCAGAATACTGAGATTATCATAAGCACTCAGAAGATGGAGGCTAATATAATTAATATGAATATCTTTGAATAGTTGATATTCTTTTCTTGATAATTGCTGCAGACTACTCAGTAAGTCTTATATCATTCAATTCTACTCACATTATTAATTTTTTTATCAAATACTCATTGATCATGTAGAATCATTATATCTGAGATTCTTTCAACTAGCTGTCATATATCAATCTGCTTGAGGCAGTTAATCTTCTTAATACAGACATGAAAGTAATATTTTCAATCTGCAGTTATTTGAGCTCAGGTGAAATTCTTTGAAACTGGCAAGCTAGTGATTTCAGAGTCTGCAGAAATATTAGTTAAATTATTAGTGAAATCTCTCACTGAGATCTCTCTTACTGAAGTAATATTCTTAGTAAGCATTGAAAGATTCTTCATCTCTAAAGCAAACTCTGGAAGAGCAGTAGTATTCCACATCAAAAATGTTGAAATTCATACAGTAATCTCATAGTCTATTCATTAATTATTTGTAGAGTGTAGAAATATTGAATAAGCAGATAGAAACTTCCTGTTCATCATGAAATCATCTGTTAATAAATTGTGTTGAATAGAGAGAATCACTACTGCAGTTACATAGGTGATAGAAGGCAGGTTCTTAACACCTAGCTCAGGCAGAGCTAGAGAATCCATCAAATAAAGATCTTCTTGAAATATCATATCTTTTGATGTATAAAGGTGATCATTAGAAGGGTTGACTAATCTATAATTAGTAAAGTCATTATAACCTGTAAATATAAGCTCCTGTGATCATGAGACTATCTTTATATTCAACTTGAGTACTATTTTTAAATAAGTCTTGCACCTCCATCAGTGAATCCTACATGTGGAGAGCAGGGCCCTGAGCCAAGCTTCATATGAGATAATTGACTTTAGTTTCAGATCCTCTACACTATTATAGAGCTTGATTGATATTGACATAAGATTAAGCATTTCAGTTACTGCAATTACTGCTTCACCTCACATCTGAGAAGAGAAGAAGAAATTTATTAATAATATTTAAGCTTTTTCAATAATTAGGTCAATAGAATATTCAGATACACCATCTTGCTGTGAAGTGTAAGGCAGAGTTAGTTCTCATTTAATACTCTCACTTATCATATAAATGACTATGGTGTTTGAATTCAACTCACTACAGTCAGAGTGAATAATCATAACATCATGATTGAGCAGATTCTTTATAAATTGATTGAAGGTCTGTATATATTTTAGAGTCTCATTGTGATACTTTAATAGGAAGATCTACTGCATTCATATGATATCATCAGTGATCATCATCATGAGCTTCTTATCTACATAAGATGATATATTTTCTTCATTATCAAGTGTTTCTCCACTTTCAAATAGATTCACTCAAATATTAAAACCTTTACAAGTGGTACAGTGTAGTGAAGTATTTTTATAACTTGTACATTTATGCTTGACTTTAACACATGTGATGTAGAATAAGAGCTTCTTTGAGCTAATAATGACAATTTTAAAACAGAGCTCTTATAATATTTTAATTAGATTCTTCTTATCAATATGGCTTAATCACTGGTACTACTTATTAATCAGTAGCTGCTTCAGTATAATGGTAGATAATCAGATTGATGAGGATAAAATGAAGGTATCAGTATTTGAATCCTTCAAGTTAATTAACTGCTCCATGTCATTATGGTTGAAAAGATTCAGTGATGTAGTGTTCAGATCATAATCTGTTGAAATTACTCTAGGCTTCAGAATCATCAAGTATGTCAGTGATTCAAGCTTCAGATCATTCATAATACTCCTGAACATAGAGAAGATATCAAATAGAATATATATATTATTGAAATTTAAATTTGCATAGAAGATGTCATTTTCTGTAGATGCTATTATCTCAAAGTAATTTTCAATGTTGACCTATAGATTACAGTGAATATAGCTCTAGCACTTCAATAGACCAGTGAATATAAGATTAACAGATAAGCCTGACATCAAATAGATGTGATCAAATTTAATTAATCTTTCTCTGACTAGAATGAAAGTGATCTCAGTTTCTTGAACCTTCAAAGTAGTCTTATTGACCACTTAAATCATAGAGCTGCTAATCTTTGTTATTTGAGAAAATCATGATCAATCACACACAATATGATATTTGGCCCTGCTATTTCATATGATGAGTGGATTGATGATTGGTTTGACAGAGTATATAGGCACCTCAATGACCTGCACTAGATTCACTATTTGAAATGTTTTAAAGCTACCATTTGCAGTTGATAATGCTTTTTTGCTCTCACTACTTTTTTTATTATTATATTTCTCTATTCTTACTGTGTTGACAGTCCTTCATTCTTCAAGAATGCTATTTGAATTGACTGCTCAGCAAAATATGTCATAATGATGCTTGCATTTCAGACAGATTGAAAGGTCAAAATTTGAACATTTATTCATTCATTAGTCTCCATGTCCCCTGGATTAGTCCTTACAGGTCAAATTATTTTGAACATTACTGCTATTATTGAAACCCACAGTCACATTTTTAGCCTGAGTCATGTTGGCTGAAGAATTAACTGTCTGAGCAGCTTTCTTGACCTTTTTGAGAGAGTTTAATTGAGAGTGTATTTCCTTTATAATTGAATGAACATTCAACATGACAGACTTTGATTTGAACTCTTGTACCTTCTCAATTTTCTTTTGCATGTAGTTTCATCATATATTGAGAAGTGCAGAATAGAACACATAGAATACCATGTTATTTGAGAGTAAAATATTAAATATTTTCAATTTCATAATAATATCATTGAACTTATCAAAAAATATATGTACATTGATGACTTGAACATCACTTATTGATGTAAACACTAGAACTGCTTCCATGCAGAGCTGTATTCTCAGGATGAAGAACTCTTTCTCAACTGTATGTCAAAAAAAATAAGTGATTCTGCCCTCATCATACTTATTAAAACAGAGCTTAATGCTGGCTGCCAATGTATTTAAAATGAATGTGTAAAGTCAGTGATTTTTGACCTCTTAAAAAGAAGCTTATTTGAGATCTTCATCAGGGCTTTTGACTTGCTTGTCCTCCAATATAACTCAGTATTAAGCATCAATTAGCTTAACCTTCATATTCACATGCCAGAAGAGATAATTTGAAGATCTGACCATAGTGTTCAACTTGATGACATACTTAGTATTCTGTTTAAACTGGCTGATTACCTTGCTGACACAGCTATCTGAGTCATAAAGATTATATTGCATTCAGAATCTCAAGTTCAGATTTCATGCTGATGATCAACTCACTAATGAATTTGCAGACATCATAGCTATGTCATTTTGAGTATGAAGTCTCTTCAATTGAAGTTGAAGCTGCAATTCTTTACATTTCTCTTTTTGAAGTTCTAAATCAATCTTTTGACATTCAAGATTCAATCTTCTCAGTTGCAATTCTTCAGAGTCAGTTGCCAGTAGTGAGTTAGAGATTGCTGCAGGCATCTCCACCTCATCTTCTGAAGAAGTTGAATTGATATATTCAACATGATGTAAGTAGATCAGCCTTACTATGATAGAGGCTGTAATCAGTCCAGCTTGCTGATCAGGTGTTTTGAGAGGTCCAATATTGGAACTCTTGAACACCACTGGGAGGGTCAGTGAGCTCAGCGCCCTCTGGTCATTTTCAGATCAGTCAGATTGACTGGATTGACTTGATCATAATCACAAGTGAGTCATCATACATTTCATCATGTCATATTAATCTTCTTTATAATGGAGTAATCTTATTCAGTGAAATTCTTGCTTATAAGCTTGATTGAGCAGATTGATGTGTTCTTGTGCAATCAGTCACTGAAAAATTAGCAAGTTGCAGATTTTTTCACCTGCTAAGTGAATAGATTGAACACAGAAAAAAAAAAAAAATAATAATATAAGAGTGTATCAAATCAATCAATTGATATAAAATAAGACAATATTATATTGAATGAAGCAAGCAGTGATTAATATACACTATATTTGGCAAGAATTCCCTGAATTGGCAGTTATTTGCGCAAAATGGGTCTCATAACCTGTGAAGGATAGATTGCTTGATTGATTATGAAGTGATCGCTAGCTACGCAGAAGTTATATACGGTGTGGATTACATAAGAAGGTGGATAGGCCTGACACATTCAACATCAAAGTAATGAGAAAAGAAGAGGGCATTGCATGAACAACCGGAATACTCATAAGGTAAAATTTCACGCATCTTGCCTTACATGCTTTTTGTGTTATGGGAAAAGTAATCGTGGTCAGGCCCGCAGCCCTCTTTACATTCTGGGCATCTTGGAATCCAAGAACGCAGCAATGGATTCGTGAGGTTTGGCAACGAATTGTTGGTGTTATAATTTGAAGGGAAGAATACATCATAATAATAATCTAGAACATTGTGTGAGATACAGGAGAGGAATGATTAAGAAAAAAGAGTGCGGGCTTGACTTTGTGGGAATGATGAGCAGATGTGTGGGACTGTGGGCTTAACATCAAACACAAAAACTGTGACAGTGGATTGAGATGAAGAATGCAGATGCACAAGCCGGGCAATACTCCATGTATAATGTAGAGAAGAAAACAAAATCCGCCAATCATGTACTCTCTCTAATCCTGGGCAATAGCTCAGCGAACATCGACTCTGATACCGTCGTGATGCCCACATCTTCGGCATCCATATGTCATTAACTCCTGAACCTGGTGTCTGGCAACCAGCCAGTTCATATATCCATTCTCATGCGTCGCCCATGCACATAGGCGGTTGCCCCCGTTTGCGCGCTTACAACAGGCAATTTGCTCGTTCTTTCTGAAGTTCCTAGGAGGTATCGCATTTAGAACATCAGAAAGTTGGCAGCCACCAACTTTACATGCCTTTTTGCCGTAGCAATCGGTTGCGGAGGTGTAGGTGGTGAGAGCGAGAACAGTGGAGAGAATGATTGAGATCTTCATGGTCGAAGGGTTCAAGGTAGGCTTGAATTTTGAGGTTTCGGATTTTTGGGTGGGTTTTTAATCAATTGAAGTGAATTTGATTGCTGCTGCGCTTCAGAAATAAATCTTGGTTCTCTCAAGGCGGTATTTATACAGCTGTCTTCCTCTGCGATGAGAACGCACTACAGACAAAAAGAGCCATTAATGTGATTCTAGAGCTACAACTAAAGTGTAGGTAATCTTGATTCCGTCTCTCGAAAACAATTTTCCATTTCAGCTCGCTTTCAAGTCTTCGGGAATTGTAATGATGGCTTATGATAGAAATGTGGGACCGACTTGGCCACAACTATCTCTGTTAGTGGACTGCGATCCATCAATCCAATTTCCCCAATGCTCGACAAACTATTCTTGGAGTGCCTACAAATAGGCTTCACAAACTCCAGATGGCGGCCTGTACACCGGCTAACCTATGCCCCATGTATAGTATTGTCTCAGAGTCGGGCGTCAAAACGGCTGGATAGTGCCGGGGTTCTGGTTCTCCTAGCTTTACTATTTCCCATGCTTATCTGCTTGAACAGTCAGCTCAGATCCACAGCAGCTTACTTCCTACTGGGGAGGGGGAAAACCGAATTTGTGCAGCTGGAGCTCAACCTGGCTACACTACCGAAGGGCGGCCCCCAGGTGATTAAGCGAACCGAATGAAACCACTCCAGCTGAGCGGGAAAGAGTGATTCCAACAAATGTCCCACAACAAGCTGCGTATCCGCCTGACTCTCTGCGTAAGTACGATCGAGATAAATAAATTATCAATCCGCAAGTCCCGGAGTACAGCGTAATTGAACGAACTTCACGTAGATAGTGCTTTAGATCTCCGACGATTAATTCTGGGAAAGAAAGAAAAAAAAAAAAAGTTTGGAGTGAAATTATTATCATCCCAACAAACACCAAAACCCCAGAAGTCATTAAAAGACCGGCACAATTTCCACCAGAAGCTTCACAGGATAAGATAAATAAAGAAGCCTCTGGTTCGCATGGCAGCCCACTTGCATATCGACGGATTCGGGCCGTTTGCCATGTGGTGACGTTGATGGGAGTCTTGTGGTAACTAGTCATTGATGGAAAATGTTTTCTGACTGTTCGGGGCCATATGTTTCCGTACTAATTAATTTCCACGCGTTGGCTTGGCGGTGCCTGGGTTGATAACTAACCCCGACAATACTCGGCGTATTCTAAATCCCCACGTCAAGGTCCGTTAAACGATGAGCTCCTTCGTCCAAGAAGTAGTGCAGGATGCCCTCCCTCGGTCTGATGGGAATTCCCTTCGTTCTGTTCTTGTTGGAAAATATGGGCAAAATTCACTAAGACAACATCAGTGTCTAGCTTGTTGACCACACTATTCCATGTAACTAGCTGTCTCCTTTGCAAAGCTTGCACGGCCCTTAGGTGCGGTGTGTTGTGTCGCATCTCTGATACCATAAAAAGGAATGGAAAAAGGAATGGAACAATCAAAAAACTAATTTGGGATGTGGAGATATTACATAGAGAGAATAGACCTTTAGGGGCACTGTCTCACAAGGATGCCCCCCACTGCGGTTACATTCGCCGCAGCGGGCTTCGCGTTCTAGTTCCCAGATTTGAACCTAAGGCAATCCCCGCCTCAACGCACGCTTCTCGTTAAGCATGATTTTGTTTACCTTGGTGTTGGCCACGAATTAGGAGCCTGAAAACGACGTCTCAAGCAAGTCAATTTGTTTGGCGATTGGAGCCGTTTTGCCAGTAAAAGTATCGACCCTCAACTGCCTGTTTCGGTCTAGCGCGTTATTTCACGTCTCGTGGATAGATTATGTAGTTGGTATCTGGTTGACTCAACATCCATGAATGCTCCACGTTATTCTAACGGATTTACAATCAGAAAATATGAACTCCAATCGCGTGGATACGGAATCTCTTGCTATATTGGTGACGTGACTGGGGATCATATCTCTGGGATTGGTTATACGGTCTCATCTGCCGTTGCGTAGTTAGTTACCCCCGAACAGCCGGGCAGATTCGTGGCAATGATGACCCTCTCTGCGAACGTCAGCGCGCTGACGGACGAGCTCATAATCATAATGACAAACATTTCAGACAAAGCGAGTCCATTGCTCCACTTCTTTCTGATTTCTCACTGTTGCTAATTTTCGTAACAGAGTAGCCGCCGTTTCCACAGGTCAAAAGTCCTGGTTGAGAGGACTCTGAAGCAGAGCAATGCTGGCAGAACAGACCATCTGGATGTTGCAAAGAGACTTGATGGTCTCCAAGAAAAGTTCCAAGTCTTAGATAACGATGCTCTTTCTGATGCCTTGTGTTCACGGCTAGATGAGCTTAACCAGAAGAGGAGCCATCGGGTCCCTGAAGTCTTATCTTTACTTCTGGAACTGTCAGATAGACCTGCAACGCTTTCCAAGGTTGCGGACTTGGATTTGCTGAAACGACCCGCTTCTCCACTCCCTTTAACATGGAGCGACGTTTATGCATCTGATCCTCTTAATGACGAGGAAGGTATCTGGCAGGATATAGATTCCGCTGCAGGTTCCTCCGACGATGATTTCTCGAGTATATCAAGTGTCATCTCTATCCCGCGAATCATCCCCTACCGCCCCAAAGCCCCTCTGGATGATTTCAAGCCCCCGGATAGCATCTTCTTAACGGTTGAAGATGAGACCTTACTCTCGCGCATCCAGGATCTTGAGATATGGAGACAAAGGGTTGCAGACACCAGTCAACAAACTAGAGATGACGACTTATACCTTACTGAGTTTCAAGTAATCAGAGAAACGATCTTCATGCTTCAGGGCATTCCAACCACTCTGTTTTGGTATTTGGACGGCTGTGTTGAAGTTGATCGGAGGCTTAAATTGCGTCACGCATCCACCACAGCATTTGAAAACTTGCTCCGGTCATTTAGTGCCGTCGGAGCCCAACTGCACATTATTAGACAGTTTTCAAAACGTCCTCAGAGTCTTCAGTTTATGCAAATGTTTCAGCGCGAGGTGGAGGTTTGTTTGGCAGAATTTGACAAGACTTTATCCAACCTGGAGGTGGAATACTCTAGAACAACGGAGTCCTGTACTCTGAGTTTAGTTCAACTCTACTCGCATGTTCATGAGAAAACCCACCTTTTGCGTGAACTCTCTGATCTCATCAACAGAATGACAGATCAGTCCCCAAATGAAGGATTCCAATGCCTAGATTTACTGTACGATCTTGTTTGCTCGAAACAGGCATGCGGGGATGACGAAAGTTTTATGCATTTCACTAAGATATTCTTCAAATGCTTCGAAACCTATGCGAGACCCATAATATTATGGTTAGAAACTGGAAAGCTGGACAAAAGTATAGGCTCATTTTTCGTGTCCGACTCGGGACGACAACTGACAGATTTGAGATCTCTTTGGCACGAATGGTTCGTACTAGAAGAGGTCCATGGACAGTTGTACGCACCACATTTTCTGCGTCCTGCGGCGAAAAAGATTTTTACCACCGGCAAAAGCAGAATATTCCTCCGCCACCTCGGCATGGATTTGAACGTCCCAGAGTCCCCAAGAAACTTCAATTTTAACCTTGAGGATTTGAACTCATTTAACAACTTCTCACCATTGCTACCCTTTCAAGCACTCTTGGAATGCTCCTTTGATCGTCTCTTGGAGGCAAATCATATCTTTGCTTCGAAAGCATTACAAGAACAGCTCGACAAGAATTGTGGATTATGGGTCTCTCTGGAAGCCCTCGAATATATATATATGGGGAAGGACATGTCGCTCACTTCAATAGTTGATCATGAAATATTCGATTTGATCGATAAAGGAATCCAGTCCTGGAATGACAGATTCTTCCTCACTGAGCTTGCTCAAGGAACGATTGGCAGTCTACCCTCTGTCGATCCTAGCCGCCTCATAATTAGATCCAAACAGATCAGCCTTCGAGATTTCCAACACTATTGCCGCTCTGTTCATATCCTGAAAGCCATCTCCATGGACTATATTCTTTCCTGGCCAGTGGCTAATGTTATCACCAAACAGTCCCTTGTAGCGTACAGACGTGTTTCGGCCTTCCTGATGCAAATACGTCGAGCAAAGTATGTCGTGGAGCGACAGCGTCTCCGTAATTCATTACACCCCGAGACGGAAAGCGAGAAGAGAGATGATGTTCTCGGTTACAGCATTCGACACCACCTCCTCTGGTTCGTAAACGTCCTCTACGCACATCTCACACAGCTTGTGATTTGCAGCTCGACAGCAAGTATGAGGGATTCGGTATCAAAAGCAAGTGACGTGGACGGGATGATTGCCGCACATCAATCATATACCTCGTCTCTAGAAGCCCAATGTTTGCTCTCTTCCAATCTCGCACCTATTCACCAGGCCATTGTATCTCTTCTTGACCTATGTATACATTTTTCCGATATCCAAATCTCGCGTCACGGCGACAACCAATTCGATCAGGGAAATCATAGATCGCTCAATTCGTCTACTGGGCGCCGATATAGGAACAGCGGGAACCACACCCGTCGTCGTTCCCGCTCTCGAAAGAAGGGATCTAGCTCCGATGAGGATGAGGATGATGACACTGATGACACTGATGATAGCATGACGGGTGACGGGGGAAATGTGACAATTTCATTCCTGGAATCCCCATACCGGAGTCGATTAATTGGCATCCGGGATAAATTTGAACGGTTGTGTGCATTCATTACGGCAGGGCTGAGGGGTATGGGGCGCGTGGATGGACAACAGAGCTGGGAAATTCTTGCGGACAAATTGGAGTGGAGGAAGAGTAGAGGGGGTTTACAATTCTGATTGAGCATAACTCTCAGCGCCTTGAACCTATCATGAAAGGATTTTGCTACAAGTTACCCTGTCCCCTGGTTTCTTACCAACTCCAAGCCTGAATGAAACGGTATTCGTTTCCTATAAACTGAAAACTTGCCTCTCTGTGTACATTTTCTATAAGTGTAAATATGCGACTTTTGTGCATCAATGCGATATGATGGGACCTGCCAACAAAGAAAGGAGGGGATGATATGGGGGCAAATGACAAAGGTCGGGGCCTGGATACACGTTCTGTCCCAAAAAAATAAATAAATAAATAAATAAATAAATAAATAAAAATAAAAATAAATAAATCCAACACAGTCGCGGGGCCTCAAAATCAGGCATCCAGCCAAAAAGCCACTAAAAAGCGTTAAGGGCCCAAAACTTTTCGTGATTTAGCCAACCCATCTTCTTGCGCTGTAGAACATTCGTCCCCAAGGACCAATATCACCCCATTGCTCCATCTTGTCGGATGGAATCCAACTTCCCACACCCCCCATAATAGTACGCTCTGGGTGAGGCATAAGAGCCAGTACTTTGCCATCAGGAGTTCGGACACCAGCTATACCCTCCGGACTACCATTGGGATTGAAGGGGTATTTCATCGTTGGTTTCAGGGACGTATTATTGACGTAGCGGATTGGTACCAGATTCCGTTTCACAAGACTCGGTGCATCTGAGCCTGAGGTCGTGAATGATGCCCGCCCCTCACCGTGGGCGACGGCAATCGGCAAGCTGGAGCCGTGCATGCCGTGCAGGAAGACGCTTGGTGTTGCTGGGTCCGGATCGTAGATGCCTACCATGCAGACACGGCCTTCGTACTGTTCGCTCTCGTTGCGCTCGAAACTAGGCCAGTCGTTGGCGCCTGGGATAAGCTCCTTTAGCCGGCTGAGGAACTGGCAACCATTGCAAACACCCAGCGTGAAAGTGTCTGGGCGCTCAAAGAAGGATTTGAATTCATCTCTGGTGTTTTTGTGCAGGAGAACTGATTTCGACCAGCCTTGGCCGGCGCCCAGGACGTCGCCGTACGAGAAGCCACCGCAGGCTGCCATGCCGACAAAGGATGATAGGGAAACTTGTCCGGAGATTATATCTGTCATGTGTACGTCAACGGCGGTGAAACCGGCCATGTCGAAAGCGAATGCCATTTCGGCTTGGCCATTAACGCCCTGCTCGCGGAGGATTGCGACACGGGGTTTTGAGGAAAAGGGAGAGAAGCGAGAGGTAAGACTAGTAATCAAAGGCAATACAGACTCTTTAGGATCATAGGTGAGGTTGTATGAAAGGCCGGCATCCAGGTCATCAAGAATATTTTCGTACTCTTGATCTGCTGCGGCAGGATTGTCACGCAGTCGTTGCATCTGGTAAGATGTACTACTCCATGTCCGTTGTAGGTTGGAGCGAGAGTTTCGATAGATCAAAGTGGCATCATGATAAATTGCCAGGTTCTGTTTGGACTTCTCCGATACCCGACCAATTCGGAATATCAAGCCAGGGGGAGGACCGCAAGTTGAGAAGCAGCTGCGAAATTGGGTTTCATGCTTTTTGCGTACTTGGAATACGGCTCCCAGCTCCTCATTGAACAGAGTCTCGATTACATGGCGAGAATCGGAGCTTTGGCATATATCATCCAGCATAACTTGAACTCCACATCTTCCAGCGAACATCATCTCTGCAAGAGTAGTAAAAAGGCCTCCATCTGATCTATCATGATATGCAAGGACAATATCAGCTTCCTGAAGTTGTTGAGTGGCATCGAAAAAGTCCTTCAAGAGTTCAACATCACGAACATCAGGACACTGATTTCCCACCTGGCCAAACACTTGGGCAAGAGATGATCCCCCAAGGGCTTTGCAACCAAATGATAGATCAACGAACATAAGCACAGTCTCGCCCACTTCCTCGAAGCTACGAAGAGCTGGTGTCCAAGTCTTCCGAATGTCCCCAACAGGGGCAAACGCAGATATCACCACTGACAGAGGAGCAGTCACTTCTCGCAGCTCTTGTGATTTTTCATCCTTCCACTTCATTTTCATGGACATGGAGTCCTTCCCAACAGGAATACTAATGCCTAGTTGCGGACACAGACCCAGTCCGATGGCTTCGACTGCTTCGTATATCGCGGCACCTTCTCCAGGATGGCTGCTGGCTGACATCCAGTTGGCAGAGAGCTTGACTCGTGTCAATCGGCCAATTAGCTCTGCAGCGGCAATATTCATAATGGATTCGGCAACAGCCATTCTCGCAGAAGCAGCAGACGAAATCAGAGCAAGTAGTGGCTTCTCCCCCATTGCCATTGCTTCACCAGTTCGTATCCCCTGCAGTAGTGATGTCGCCGTAACAGAGACATCTGAGACAGGAACTTGCCAGGGTCCAACCATCTGATCCCTAGCGGTGAGCCCGCCTACAGTTCTGTCGCCAATGGTGATGAGGAATGATTTCGAACCGACGGCAGGCAAGGTTAAGACTCGCGTGACTGCTTCGCTAAGCAAGTCTCCCTTCAGAATACTAGGCAGGTAAGTTTGAAGGCTAGAGTCAAATGAAGGAAGTGAAAGTTGTCTAGATGTAACATTCCTAGTCATTTTCGGCGGTTTGCCGAATAGGACAGAGAGAGGTAGATCAATTGGATCGGGTTGGTTCTGAGAATCCCGATCAACTAGAATCAGCCTCCTGTCTTCTTCGGGTTGACCCAGTCCACGTCCAACAACTGAATAACCACAACGCTCCCTTTTTACGATAGCTGTGAACTTATTCATTCCTTCCTCACTAACGGCCATAACATATCGCTCCTGAGCTTCACAACACCATATCTGCATAGGGCTCATACCCTTGTCAGCAGTATCGATTTCACGGAGCTCGAATTTTGCTCCCAAGCATGCATCATGGATTAGTTCAGGCAACGCATTTGATAAACCCCCGGCGCCGACGTCATGGATGAATTTGATGGGATTATCCGCGCCCATGGCGGCGCAAGCATTAATGACTTCCTGTGCTCTCCGCTGGACTTCTGCGTTTCCTCTCTGGACACTGGCGAAGTCCAAGTCTGCGGAACCTTCGCCAGATGCAATGCTGGAGGCGGCACCTCCACCCAAGCCAATCAACATCGCAGGTCCTCCAAGGACCACCAAAAATGAGCCTGGTTTTACCGCTCGAGCGTTTTTAGGCGCATTTTGAGGTCTGATAGTCCCAATACCACCAGCAATCATGATTGGCTTATGATAACCGCGAAATTCTGAGTGTCCATCCCCGATATCAATTTTGGTGAGGAGAGTTCGGAAATAGCCTGCGGTGCAAGGCCTTCCAAATTCATTGTTGAATGCAGCACTGCCGATAGGAGCCTCTAACATAATATCCAAGCTACTCGCGATGTGATTGGGCTTCCCGACGTCAAGCTCCCAGGGTTGCTTGTGGCCGGGGATCAATAGATCCGAAACACAGAAACCACAAAGACCCGTCTTCGGCTTTGAGCCTTTGCCAACAGCTCCTTCATCTCGAATCTCTCCTCCAGATCCAGTTGCCGCACCAGGGAACGGTGAGACTGCAGTCGGGTGGTTGTGTGTTTCAACTTTGGCCAAGAAATGAACTAGTTCTTTCGTTTGTGTCCATTCTCCATTGAGCGGGCTGGGGGCCCAATAACCGGCCATTTCTCCTTCTAGGACTGCAGCATTGTCGTTATATGCACTAATCGTGTGCTCCGGGTGTTTCCTTTCGGTATTTCTGATCATGTCAAACAAGCTGTTTGGCTTCTCTTCACCATCAATAATCCAGATAGCATTGAATTGTTTATGGCGGCAATGCTCAGAGTTAACTTGGGCAAACATGAACAGCTCAACGTCGGTTGGATGCCGGGGCACTGGGCCGCTGGGAGCGTAGGCGTCCACCAGATAGTCGATTTCAGACTGGTCCAATGCCAAACCAAGTCGAGTGTTTGCCTCCTGTAACACCTCAACCGGAGATTTCCCTTCTCCATAGAGAGGTATTGTTTGAAGAGGAAGAGGCTGATGCTCGGAAAACATGAGATGGAGATCTGGCGTGTCCTTACTTATTGTTTGGGTCATTCGATCATGAAGAACATCCAAAGCAGTCTTATCCAAATTCTCGCTGCCTTCAGTGAAAAGGCACGATATCTGCAAGCCGCGCTCTATGCGCATTACGTTACTTTTGAGGCCGCAGACATGGGCTATGCCAGTGGCTTGGGAACTCCATGGCGAAATGGTGCCCGTCCGCGGAGTAACGTAATAAACCGCGGATGGTCCGTCTGCGGGGTCAAATGAGGCCGGAACGCCTACAATATCTCCGTAATGTAGAAGCTGTTCTAACACTCTCCGCTGCTCTTCCTGCAAATCCCCAGTGACATGAACATAATGGACCCACTGAGCACGTACATCTTTCACTTTGATGCTTTCCGCAATAGAACGGCTTCGCGATTGGGAAAATGCAATTGAACCCTGAATTGTGAGATAACTTGAGCTTGAGGAAGCCATCGCAAATACTAGGTAATAAACCGGTATCTCAACAAAATGCAGCGGAGCAAAATTTGGTGATGTCAGCGGTGGTAAAAGCGGCAAAAAGGTATCCCCCGCAGCTTCCGGACTCACTTAAGAGTGTAACAGCCACGCTTCAAGAAAAGTGAATTCGATGCGGGAAACCTTTAGCCCTAGAATTTTCGAAAAGAAGCAACCAATTGCTGGCCTTGCATCAGCAACAATCTCGTCTCTTCTTCTGCTGCCCCAACCAGTCAACGTTGGACAGAAAACGGTCGCAAAGAATTTCTTCGCCAGATCACGTGCTGATAAACTCGGTTCGCGATTATGAGCTAACCTAAGTAGGTTAGAGGTATAAAGTCATGTTCAATATAGATCACGTGGTTATCAGTTCCTGCGGGTTCCGACTTGGCGTTTGGCTTTTCTCAACGTCAGTTCATCATAGCATCATATCACATTCATCCCCCAACAGTCGAAAGAAGAAGAGCAAGGAGTCTGTCTCTCCCGAAACATAGAACGTCAGTTCATTTCTAGCGGTCCACTATCTCGTCCACTACATTCGCTTGTTGTTGCAGGTCCTGCATAGTCCCCTTCCGAGAAGTATATGTCTCTGCATATGAGTCTTGTTAGATTCCGATACGCCGCTGTCTATCTTGGTTGGTAATTCCTGATGCTTAAAGTGCCCGAGCAGTAGCTTTGGGCACAGCGGATTCTACTTCATTCATATGCAAATCAAGAAGCGGTGGTTACCGGCTTTACGGTCCACATGTTTTGGTGCAAAATTCTGCATAACTTACTCCTACAAACACACTGGTCTGGTGATCAAGAATGTATCGATGTGCTTCTCCACAACCATGTGGTATTTCTCGTAAAGCCATAGGCGCTCCGAGACACGTTGGCAACATTAGAGTACCAAGATTACTTCTAGATAATCCGCACCAATCAAAGTGACTGACTCGGATCTTATCGATATCGTTCAGTGTATCATAACGCCCCCGGACCTACACCCCACCACCGCGGGCTTGGATAACTGAAACGATATAGGCAGTTAGACCTTTACTTGATAGATGGTTGACCACCTCCCATTTTGAATTACCAGGATTGAGTCAACCAACAGCGAGCATACTCTCCTTTGGCGCTTTGGTGCATAACTGCGTCGCAGCCAGACAAGCGGCAGAACAGATGTCTCCACTTGTAGCTTTGACCCCCATTGGAGGTTATCGCAAGATATATAGCAACCTCTTGAGAATTCCAGCATTTCGTGGGCCTTCCCAGCACAACTAGCCAAAGAAATGCTGATGTCAGTCTGCGAAGTATTGGGAAGTCATGAGTAGGAGACCACGTGATACCCCTAGCGGCTCAGTGCCCTAAGGTGGCGGGATCTAACAAAAGCTTGACCACACGTTTAAGGCCAACTTTTCCTACAATAACAAACATTTTGTGGCTCACCGATCCGTGGTGTGACACCGAACATGATGTAATCCCGAAAATTATTCATGAAAAGCAAAGTCCGAACAAATCGAAGTCTCGAACGATCGGCTCCAGCTTACATTAATACCTGCCAAAAATTTTATATCGTGAGGCTCCAATCGTCAATCTAGGGAGCAATCAACAATTGTCCATGTGTGTGTGGAATGAGAAACGTCAGATTCTTGGGCCGTTTGATCCGGATGGGACCCAGTATAGTTAATTGATCTTCGGATTTCACGCCCCGCTTGGTTAGGCCCTATCTGCAATCCTAAAATTCGATTTCTAATTCTCCGTGATGCTGATAGAGTGATAAGCTCCAAACCCTTTCCGTGTAGCGTGAGTGTGCTACCTGCCAGTGCCAACATTAATATTCAATAAGACCTCAGAGGTCACGGAGGTCCTTCCTGGAGTGTGCCTAGGTAATCGGTAGGGTAAGGAATATTTTGGTGAGGTATGTATGTGCAATTTTCTTTTTCAAAAACGGAAAAGGTAGGACAAAACGTTCATGTTTTGTTTCCGGATGCTTTGTTTGTTCCGATGTTGACGTCTGAGACTTTCCTAGTTTGATTTGTGGTTGGACCCAAAATCTTCAATTCTAAGTATCACCTGATTCATTAACTATATTAACGCGCTTTACTTCAGACGATCCCCATGTTGCGGTTCCTTACCTCGCAGTATTCAAGCTTCACAACCCAAATTATATTATTCAGAGCAGCAAAGGCCGAAATCTTAGGTTATTATAGAATAAATAATAATATAGGTCTGCCTTAACAACGCTTAATGGTTGTTAGGTGTAGTGACCCTAATCGTCGCGAGCGGTTCCCCGAGCGGTTCCCGACGGTGAACCGAGCACGAGTCGAAGAAACCCGTCTGAGACTTTATGCCTAGGTATGCTGTTCTCCCCGAGAAAAAGGAAATAAGCCATATGTTTCATTGGTAATGAGTCCTATCTGACGTCTTTCCCATTCCCACCGGGAAGTTACCGACCTGACCGAGATGTTGTTTTGCCTAGGCAGATTTATGTCCCCCTAATATATATAACATTCAAGGCCCCTTCCCCCATCTAATTGCAACCCATTTGGATTGTGCTGTATTGGAAGATTCACCCGGTTTAACATTCAAAACATCTCAAAAATGTCTGATAATCTAACGAATGAAAATGCAATGCAACGCACGCCGACCTACTCTGTAGGTCTCCCAGGCACAACTGATCCAACAGATCTCCCATTCCGCGAGCTCAGGCCAACCGCTACATTTGAAGAATATACCACTGAAACACGAGAAGGGCGCATCATCAAGTTGGTCAAATCTAATGTGACGGGAAAGCTTGAGGATTATGACCTAGTCACATTTAAAATCAACGATCCAGAAAACCCGAAAAATTGGAGCAAGGGGCGCAAATGGTACATCACGATGGTTGTTGCTATTACATGCTTCGTTGTCGCATTTGACAGCAGTGTTATCACTGCCGGTATCGGTCGAGTCGCAGAAGAATTCGGTGTCAGCGAAGTTGTAGCGCTTCTCACCATCACGGTTTTCGTCATCGGCTTCGGTGTTGGTAAGTCATGACATTTACCCCATTTTCGAAATATACAATGGAAGTATCTGGTTGCTGATTTTATGCTACTGCAGGTCCAATGGTTTTTGCTCCTGTCTCAGAACTGGTTGGCCGTAAACCAATATATGTTTCAACGTTATTAGTCGCCGTCATCTTCCTGATTCCTTGTGCCGTTGCCAAGAATTTCGCGACTCTCGTGGTCTGCCGTGCTATTGCCGGTATCGCATTCAGTGCCCCAATGACACTTGTTGGAGGCACATTAGCGGATATGTGGAAGAACGAAGAGCGCGGCGTCCCTATGGCAGCATTCAGTGCCGCTCCTTTCATTGGCCCAGCGGTGGGTCCTCTAGTGGGGGGCTTCCTTTCGGACGGCAAGGGTTGGAGATGGCTCTACTGGCTCCAGCTCATCCTGTCGGGAGCGACCTGGGTGTTGATCACGTTCACTGTTCCTGAGACTTACACACCGGCTCTCCTTGCCAAGAGAGCTAAGAAGTTGAGAAAAGAGCAAAACTCCAACAGATATGTGACGGAACAGGATCTGGATTCGAGACCACTGGGAGAAAAGATCTTCTTGTTCCTTTTCCGACCATTCCAGCTCCTCTTCTTGGAACCTATCGTTTTTCTCTTCTCCATTTATATGTCGGTCCTTTACGGCCTGCTCTATATGTTTTTCATTGCGTAAGTTCACCAGACGGTTTGGCCTAACTTCTCAATGCAACATAAAAAGTGGGACTAACATTTTCTTTCCAGATTTCCAATTGTTTATCAGATAGGCAAAGGCTATTCCGCCGGTATTACTGGACTGATGTTTATTCCTCTCGCAATCGGGGTTGTCTTTAGCGCCTGTTGCGCTCCACTTGTTAACAACCATTACCTAAAGGTCAGCCAGAGATATGGTGGAAAGCCTCCTGCAGAAATGCGTTTGATTCCGATGATGGTGTCCTGTTGGTTTATTCCAATCGGAATGTTCATTTTCGCGTGGACTTCGTACCCCCGCCTACATTGGTTTGGACCCATGATCGGAGGATTCCCTGTTGGATTCGGATTCATCTTTCTGTATAATTCCTGCAACAACTATCTGGGTATGTTGATAAACCACGATGTATGATGTCATGCTAACAGGATTCGCAGTGGACACCTATCAACACCAAGCTGCCTCCGCCCTTGCTGCCAAAACCTTTTTGCGGTCCATGTGGGGTGCCTCGGTTGTTCTCTTCACCCGTCAGATGTATAACAGATTGGGTTATCAGTGGGCCAGCACCCTGATTGCGTTTCTTGCACTGGCTTGCTGCGCGATTCCATTCGCGTTCTTCTATTTCGGGGAGGCTATTCGGAAACACTCCAAGTACGCATTCGTCGATGTCCCGGGCAATCCAAACGCAGAGAAAGAAGCCACCAGCTACTAGTATTTCCAACTATGGTTGCCTCGTTCCATCGCTGGGATGTGTGTCGAACACAATAGTCCTATCCAAACACCGCTCAATCATGGTTTTTAACTTGAGAACCCGATTTCCATTCACCTATACCACTTCTTCTACTTCTTCTCCTTATTCTTCTTTATTCTCCTTTTTTTCAGCCGTTCATCCTCCTATCCTTCCTTTCCTTATTACATGATCCGTTTGAGCAATATTAAACCTTTATTTTACTAGTTAAACTTTTCCCCTTCCATTTCTTTTTGTTTTTATTTTTCGGTTTACCGGCGCAGAAAACTAGAGATCTAGGGTTATTGTTGTTTAGCCTCCTTTTTTGTTTGGACTGGCGATGCATTTACTGCCGTTTGGTGAAGCATTCAGCATTTGATACCTCCCTAGATATAAAAATTGTATGCCCTTTTTGTTTCTAAATTGGAATTCTTGGGATAAAATAGAATAGAATTGATCATTGCTAGACAAATGGTGAATTATAAATAAAATAAAATGCCTTCCTATAGGTTATAACTTCTGTATGACGAAATGATGTATGAACCTTCCACACAACTGGAGCCTCCAGCGCATAGATTTAGCCCTCGGAGAATCGCTGATCCGCACTCCTAGCCTGAACTGGAAGTGATTTACGTCAGCACAACTCAAAATGTCATCGCTAAGACTTAGACCAGTGCACCCCATTTTTATGTATGGATCCGCTCTGTGAAGGACAGTGGCCCCAATGCCCTTCTTACTAAACGGCAGCCTCCTTCATTATAATTGACGATGTCACTACCTTTCAACGCTAGTGCCACTGGCTCACCGCTTCCTTCTCTTACCGCCTCAGTCTCCGACCTCCCACAGGCGCAGGTTGATGCGATTATACGGACCAAGCGAAAAGCTCGCGAACCCAAGGCCTGCTATCCCTGTCACACACGCAAGGTCAAATGTGACCGCAATCTGCCCTGTAGTGGCTGCGTCAAGCGCGACCATGCAGATCTATGCTCCTACGAGCGCCCTTCAAAGAAACGCCAGATTTCTGCTCAAGCGTATGTAGCAGCAGCCGCCGCAGCCGCCACAGCGACTTCCAGCGGTGGGGGAGATGTTGGCAGTCTGCAAGTCAGTACGACGGAGCTGCCATTAGGCCAGGCTGGCGCCTCGGGCAAGGTTTCCATACCCAAGGAAGAATGGGACAATGTTTGCGCCAAGCTGAAAGATATGGAAAATATGATCACGTCGCTTCGCGCGGGACTGGAGCAGGTGGACTCTGGTCAGGTGGTTCCGTCGACCATACCAAGTGCTACTACGACAGGTCGTTCAGGGGATTCTTTCCCCGAGAGGGAAGGGATCCATGCATCGAATGAGCTGGGGAATGGGACTGTGCATTTGGGATCGAGGTCGGTCTTGGCATATCTCCTTGGCCGATCCGGTACGTCGCAGGAGGCCTCCCAAGCACTTCTTGAAGGGGGTATTCTTCCAAAGCTGGGACTCGACAATGAAACTGCCACCTACCCATTCGTTGATCTGTGGTCAACAGATATATCTACATTCGATATCCGCGCAGTTTGTGCAGTTTTACCAGATGATGAACAGTGTAGGATGTCAGTTGCCCGGTTATTTTTATTTTTGCTTTTATTTTTATTTATTTTATTTTATTTTATTTTTTGGTCCATTCTTTCCAATCTCCTGTTAATTAGCATTGCTAATTGTGCAATTTAGGTTTATTCGGCGCTATCGAGATATTGGCGCAACCATTTATCCGGTTATTCCGGACATCGAACAGTTTGAAGCATATGTAGATACTCTCCTGCAGAATCGGGCAATATGGGGCGACCTGCATTCAGATTCGGGCGAGGAAACAGAGAGGCCCTATGGCATGACTCTTGCTTTTATTGGGTTGTTATTTGCGGCATTGGCTGCTGGCTGCCAATCATCCGACCTCCCTAGCAAGGAGAGGGAGTTGACTTCCCAAGTGTATGGTACGTAACCATTCCCATTGTCACTTCTCCGCCAGCCCCTGGTTTTAAACTACGAACGAAGAATAAGTTGAAAAGGAAGAACAAATCCCAACCCCATACCTAATGCGTGTATAGTATGCTGTTCGTATCAGTTTCTACGAATGACAAATTTCCTTTCCCAACCCACCCTCGAAGCCATACAGACATTGCTCATAATTGGCAATGTCCTCTCTTACAATATGAATCCAGGGGTTTCTTACGTCTTACTAGGTGAGTGACATTCCATAGTAATGCCGTAGCTTCGATTGAAGGAGTAAGGATGCTAATATTTCTTTTCCAAAGGAATGACTCTGAGAATGGGTCTAGCTCTTGGTTTGCATGTGGAAGCAAACAGATTCTCAGCCAATGAGCGGTACATACGACGAAGGGTTTGGTAAGCTTTGCCATATATACTTTCCTTTACTACCTGATTCTAATCAGTATTTGCTCTATATATAGGTGGTCGATGGCATGGCAAGACAGCCACTTTTCGCTTTCATACGACAGGCCATCGACAATGGCATTTAGTCAACCTGACATACCGTACCATGCAAACTCACAACCAGGAAACCGTTCGTACTTCGAAACTCTCAGCCTGATGACCTCACTCACCCTGGAAATCCTCAGGGCGCGCATGCTCTCACCCCACTCGCAAATGTCAGTCTCGGTCATTCAAGCGTACAGAGACGAACTCCAAAGAATCATGGCAGATGTAGCTCCACATCTCCGCGATCCACAATACTGTCTCA